GTGTGTGTGTGTGTGTCTTGTTTCACTAGCAGCTGTCTCCTGCAATGAGCTGCGCATATGACTCAGCTCATCGTGCCTTGACTTTTGGCCATATGCTGTCCCGTACCCAAAATCTGGACCCATGGTGACGCAGCATGTCTGCATGTGTGCAGACTACACACCGTGCAGCGTGTCTCTAAATTGGGACACCAATCAGCAGCCTTTCCACAGCATTATTTACATTATAACTGCTCACCACTAATAGGGGGAGCGCTACCCAGGCTCGGGTTCTGGTTTGAGCTCAGAGGGAGGAGAAGACCAACTGGAATGTTCATAGCTGTGTTAACAACAAGTAATGCCGCTGCAGGGAACACAAACGTAAACACAAACATGTGAGCCATGACAGTGTGGATCAGACCTTTAAGACGCATACACTAGCTGGACACAATTGATGTTGATGCAGAATATTCAGTCCTTGCAGCAATTTATAGCTTTGCAATAACAAGATTACGTAAGTTTTCCTGTAAAGTCAATGGCCTTGGACCAGCTGCTCGTCGTTTGAAATAAATTGAGCGTGTCTGCTTCTACAAAGGATTTAGACCTTATTGCAGTCATCAGTCTAGTTGAAAGAGAACTTTGTAGCTCAGATCTCAAAGTTTTCAGCACAGAAAACACTCCAAATGCCCTTAACGACCCCTTATCTCTTATATACAAAAAACTTAATATATAATATAAATAATCATGGAAATGTGTGTTTCTTGATTAATTTTGGCACTGAGTCTGGACTCCTGTAACTCTTGTTAATCTTGGTTAGAAAATGTGTCTTCCACTTCTCACAAGTGCAGCTCACTCCTCCAGATATGTCATCCTGTTACAGTAAATGCTAGTTTCGCCAAGTTAACCCCGCCCACACACCAGAAATGTGGGCACACTGCAACAATGAGGGGAGGGGTTGAGGTGGGTGGGGGGTGCCAGTTGTGTGTAGCAAGGCTGAGCCAATAGCATTTAGAGTTGGTGTTAGAGGTTATGTAGTCAGAGGAGAAGCGATACTGGGTGCATTTTTGTGACTTTAAAGGGTTGGACTTCCGGCACCCCGTCATGAACCCTCCCTCTCCCTTTGTGGCTTCTTCCCGGTCCAACTCCACTCAGTCACATGCGCTTCACTTAGAGAGAAAGCTCCCTGACTATTTTCCACACACAGTTCACATGCAGGCAGTTGAGAATGTCTGGCAGCGAATCACTGTCAAATCTTTTTGTTGCCGTGTGTGTGTGTGTGTG